TCATCATCATCATCATCATCATCATCATCATCATCATCATCATCATCATCGTCCTCTTCACTATCTTTTTTGTTTTTAATATTTTTGCCTTTTTTAATCGTTTTTTTGCTTTGAATTTTACGCCGGTTAGTTTTTTCATCGCTTTCTTCACTGTCTTCTTCATCGTTTTCTTCTTTGTACTTGTACTTTTGAGACATATTTGGTTTTTTAAACGGAAGAACAAAGTTGTATTTATTTTTAATGTCATCATTTTTAGAAACCAATTCTTTAAGTAATTTTATAGCTTTCAACTCTTTTGCTATCGATGGGGAAAAAAAACTCATCATTTTTCCTATTAAAAATCTTTTCATTCCTCTCCATGCCATGTTAATATTATACCTTGTTTTAGACACATCAATCATCTTTCGATTTTTAAACTTCGCGATCATTACATCTATAACAATTTCTTGAAGTCGTTTTGACTCAAGGCGATCATCAAATGGTTTAACCGTAAGAGAATCTGAAAAAAAATATATACATTTTAAATTATGGAAACATTATAATTAAAATTTTAAGTATTATTAATTATCATTCATAAAATCATAAGAAATATACTTAATATAATATAACAATAGTAATTATATTATGTCAATAGTTAAATGTATACAATTTTTACAAAATGTATAACATGTATAATTTTAGTTTTATATTATTAAATTATAGGTACTTAAAAAAGTCAACTTGGTAGTAGCAATAAACAAATATATTATGTAACAAATTTTACTTAAATTATTTACTTTTTTGAATTATAGTTAAAAGCTTTAAACCACAAAAATCTATACAAATCAAATAACAAAGGAAAACCTTTATCGAAACTGCTAAATTATTGGAAAATAAAAACCAAATTTTTTTTAAATTTATTTATTCATTACTGTGATAATTATTTACATGTGTTATGTATAAACTATAAAGTACTAACCTTTAATGTATATTTTTTTGCCTCCATTTGTTACAGATAAAAAGTTTATAATGAAAATGGATAAAAATAAATAAACGCACTGTCTATCCATTGATACAAATATGAATGTGTTTATGATATGTGGTATAAAAAAAATACTCATATCATAACTATGAAATTAACTGCCGTCGATATTTTTTTCTCGCTTAAAATTATGGCAGGGGTTTTCAGTTAATTATTATGCTACTAATTGTCTTTCTTCGTATTGTCACAATAACCTGACATGCATGTGTAAAATAATACAATTGACGATTTTTGTTTTCTACGATAAACACAAGTTCACATGTAATTGTAATTTTTTTTCAAAATAAGGTTTTATAAAAATAATTTAGATTTTTAACGATTTTACGTTTAGTCAGTGGTAATTGAATAAAAATTTTATTAGTGGTTTTATTTAGTTTGACAATTTTATTTAATAAATAGTGTGAGAAATCAAAAAACCAAAAAAAAAAAAAAAAAACTCGTATCTATTCCATAACTCATTTGCAGCTTAAACTCGCAATTTAGAGTGTATTAATATTTATTGAAAGAGATCAACATTAATCAAACACTTTTTACATAAATTGGTTTCAACAGTCAGTGCCTTTAATAATAATGTCCGATAAGCTCAAATATCGTGTTCAAGTCCAGGCGAGAGTGATCCTGCATCGCGTAATCATTATTATTTGTAATTAATTTAACGAATATACTGTTAAAATGATACTTCTTTAAAGTTTATTATCTATATAATTATGTTAATCCTCACTGTTGACTGTTTTTATGTCTGTTGTCTGAAGGTTAAAGTATTTGATGTGTTTTGTGTGTATGAATTATATTAAACATAAACAGATCAGCTAACCTCTCTATACCATTAATGTACCTGCAATCAAATACATATTTTAATGTAGACGTGTTCGATTCCTAAAAATCTTATATTGCAGAAATAAAATCAACGTATATAAGACATTCGTTTTCAATTTACTTTTGTGCATAATTTTATAAATTACTAAATAATAATTAACATTACTCTATAATTAAGAAATTCACGAATCATACGATTAAAATACCTACTGCCACTAATTATGACTAATATCTTAATGTTTACTATTTAGTTACAGCTGACCGTGATAAATCGTACGTAAAAAAAAAAATAAAGAGCTCGAATAAAATAAAATTAATATAAGTCATGTTGTATACAAATAGTTACGTGTCATTTAATAACTTTAAATTATATATATAAATTTTTATTATTTGTTCACGTGAAAAATAAAAATTCTCCTGAATATTTTATAAACCGTCTTTATTTTAATATGGGTCTCAAAATATATATAAATTTTGTATATTTTGTTTTAGTATAAATCTTTTAAGATTTAATACCTATTTTACGTGGTAAAATAAAAATTCTCCTGAATATTTTTATAAACCGTTTTTATTTTAATATAACTTTAAAATATATATACATTTTATTTTTATATAACTTTAAATATATATAAATTTTTAGTGTATTTTTATTTATTTATTTTTAATTTTTAATTAATTAATAATTAATTAATTTTTAGTATCTATCTTTTAAGTGTAAATTAATAATACTGATGTACATGGGTTAATTGTCTATTATCTGTATGTACTTGATCAATTTCGTTTATTTGAATATATTAAACTGAACTTATGTTGCCATCTTTGTAATAACAAAATAAAGGTGAGCTAGACGATAAATATAAAATATTAAATGGTGTTCGATGAAAGAGTAGTGATGTGGTGGACTGACACAAGGACAAGCCGAGCGTAAAGTCCGTATTAATAAATATTGAGATACTTTTCCGTGTTATACCTTCTCTCGTTCTTCGGAGGGTTTCGAGATCTAGATTCAAGATGGATCAAATACATCATTACAAATTAGATAGTAGCATAACCTGTACTCAACAATTATATTTTAGCATGCTACCTATCTGATTCGCCGCAGTGAATACTTATAATAACCGTCGGAGAAAGATATATGGTAACACACATGATACTGATTTGTGAAAACTTATGTTTAAATAAGAAAACAACACTGATTTGAATTAGAAGAAAGAAGTCCAGTTGTCGTCAGTCTTGTGTGTAATGTCTAGGTGGTTTTGGGAAAGTTCGTTCGTTTGTTGTGCGCCCTGCACTGTAATTTTGTATGCTCGCACTGATAGTTTGGCCTGAGCTCATGCACTCGTGACTTGGCTGGTGCTCGTGCACTCGTGGTTTGCGTGGTGCCTCGTGCACTGCGGAGAAGACGTCGACACATTGGAGTCGCAGGCCATGCCATCATAAAAAGGACTCAGCGTTTTTCAAGAAATAGCTTCTTCTATACGACAGAGATTTATTGTACCATGGCCGCTCCTGGTCTAACGAAATTGGTTCATTGATCGCTGAGATATTGTACAACTCATGTGTCATTCCTTTGTGATCATATAATATAAGTTGTTTTTGTCAGTGGCAGTGAGTTTGTAGGGTTTAGATCTTTGCTGCGACAACTTGACCCGTTAATTTATTTAATTGAATTTTATGTATATAATAAACAATGATATGAGCATATCATACAATAATAACAATGGAAAATAAATGTTTGATAGTTAAAAGAAATGTTGGGAGTTAATTTAAAAATCTCTTCAAGTCACTTTATAGGCTAATAGTGTTGAGGTACATATTATAATCAAGTGTTGTAATCAATTATTTTTATTACTAAGATGTGGAAATATTTTCTGTGATGCAAATAAGAGTACCTATCCTTTAAAATTTGACTGATATATTATGAATTATTAATATTGTAGGGAAAGTGTTTATTAATTTAAACTAATAATAAACCTTATTGACAAACTCAACGTCTGTAGCTTAACAAGTTTGAAAAATCATTCGTCGCTGCTGTCTTATCCTGATGATTAAAATTGTACCTGTGCTTGTCTGTACATCTTTCTACATGGGCCATCACCAGCTCAAGATCCACTGTCGTACTCGCAGATTCGTCTGAAGAGGAATCATAGTTAACGTTATCATTGGACAATGTGCTTTGGAATCTAATTAAATAATAAATGGATTGACTATTCGATTTCAGTGAGAGCAAAATTAACAATTTAGTTAGTTAATCGATTTGCATAAACGGTTGTTAACCGACATAATATCTTAAAATATGAATACTTGTAAGTTTGCGTTTGCAGCTTGTAGCCAGATTCACG